CTCTCTCCGAAAGCCGCCGAAGCTCTGGTCCATGCCTTTGTCACCTCTCGGTTGGACTATTCAAATGCCCTCCTCATCGGTCTTTCCTCCACTACCATTCATAAAATCCAGGTCATCCAGAATTCTGCCGCCTGCTTTCTTACCCGCACCAAACTCCGCTCCCCGATTACCCCAATCCTTGCCAGACTGCACTGGCTGCCTGGCCCAGAGACGATCAATTTCAATATCCTCAATTGTCTTCAAATCCCTCCACTCCTCTGCATTCCCCTACCTCTCTGACCTCCTCTCTCCTCAAAACAGTTCCCTTTGCCTTCGCTCCACCAGGTCTGGTCTCCTGCTTGTCCCCCGAATCCTCTGCAGCACCATCGGCGGCCGTGCCTTCAGCCACTACTCCCCGAGGCTCTGGAACTCCCTTCTTCACTCCCTTCGCCTCACCCCCTTTCTTCCTACTTTCAGGTCTTGGCTAAAGACCCTTCTTTTTGACCACGCCTTTGGTCACTTTCTTCCCTCCTCTCCCTGGCTTGGCCCCGGGATCCGTTATTGTGAAGCACTCTGAGACGCCGTCCGGCGTGGAGGGCGCTATATAAATCCAATTTGTTGTTGTTGTAGTATTATGCTCATCACCGGATAGTCAATCTACAATAATCTTTTTATCATAATGTTCATTTTTAAAAAAATACTTCTAAAAGTCAAGAAAATGCAGACAATAAAACTGAAGTCTTGCATCCCTAGTTCTGTTGTGTGCTGCTAATATCACGGTGGGAATGCTATTGAATCGGGAGCTGTGAAGGAGCTAAATTGACCTACACAGTTAATACTTCAGTACTCTAGAAACCACTGAGTCAATTGTGGCATTTCTTTAGTAAGGAATCCCATTAGAATTCTGAACAGCGCAGGGGAACTTGAAACTGAAAGCAGATCACCATCGGAATGGAGTTCCCGTGAATTGGCATGGCTGACTAATTAATGGAATTAATTAATTCTGGTTAATAGAAGGAGTCCCCATTTGCATGACTCAAGTTCCTTATCAAGCAATCCTGTTAAGAAATACCGCAAATTAGAACAGTATATTTTCTATTGATGATAATTCAACACTCTCATCCTGCTGGCCTCAGTTTTGTGACATATGAAGGGTTAACATAAAGTTAGGGCTGCAAGTTACCATGATGGGTCTGGTGGGCAGGGAGGAAGGGAGGGGGAATGGAAATTGTTGCTAGAACCATGGTTGTTTCTCACTCAATGTACAATAGATGTTCTTCCAAGCACTGGCGGTACTCACTCTATGTTGGGAAGCTGTCTGCAGCAGCTAACAGATCAGGAACATGTTTTTTTTTAAGAATGCATAAAGCAGTCTGAACACATCATATACATTTGGATCACGTGAACCGTAATCGTACCCAAGACTGATCAAGATTCAAGTCGTTCGTGACTTGTGAGATATGTAGTTATCTCATTCATCAAAATGATTGATTGCTCTGGACAGCGTTCTGCAGAGTGTCCTTAACTCATGCAACCTATGTGGCCAATAACACCATATATGAGGCGTCTTGCTTTCCCATACGTGGAATATAGAATTGATTCCAATGCAGCAAAGAGCAAAAACACAAATGGCTCTGCAGCAAGTGAGTGTCAGTTACTACAGCAACACTACAGCAATGCCAAGCCTGCACCTAATGCCTTCTGGAATTAGGTAAGAAGTATGTGTCCCTCCAGGGAGGGAGTGAGCATTCCATTCCAATACACGGGAATTTCCATATGTTGGTGGGACGCGTGGAATTCTCACTTTGATTTGGAAACTCTTAGGCGCGGTGATTGGTTTTCGCGTGTGACAGACACCCGACTGACCAGGTCAAACTCCACATCTCAAAGTCTAAATTAATTTGAAGTTATTAACAAAATTCTACAAAACTGGAGGGTTTACTCTGTCCTAAAAAATACTGCTCAGGGCACACATTTGACTGCAGTGAGCCAATCATGAAGGAAATTGTACACTCAGTACACTCCTGACTCGGGCATGGAATGTATTCTGCAATTATCTGCACAGTGTCCTCTACTAATACCCTCCAGTTGGGAACCAGACAATGTAATGAATGCGTTTTATTCAAGTCTCTCATTTCCAGTGTTTGCAGGTTAGTGTATTGAGAACAAGTTTGGGGCTGAAAAGATACTCCGTGGATGTCCTCTGAGGGCAGGGGGAAAGAAAGCAGAGACTCAAGTGACTCCAAGCAGACTTGCCGAGTGAATCCAGGCATGTCCACAGTTATCCAAAGGTAGTTTAGCATCCTGCCTGGTTCATCACCAAGACTTATGAGTAGGCGTGCCCTCAACCTCGCAACTAAAGCCCAAATGGATAGGATGATCCTAGATAGATAAGAACTGTGCTGTGGCTGCCATTACTATTTTATGACACCTGTAAAACTATAACAGCATGTGTCATACCATTCAGAAGAAGAGCAAGGTGAGAAAATTGTGCTGTGTTAATGATCAGTAGTAACAAAAAAGGAAACAAAAACTGAAGTCGCTGGGAACACTCAGCAGATCAGGCAGCATCTATGGAGAAAGGAAAGTAAGTCAACGTTTCGGGTCCATGACCCTTCGTCAGAACAGGGGCATGTGGGGGGGGGAGAGACTTTTTAAAGGCTAACAGTGCGGAGGGAGGCAGAGCAAGGAAGACAATGGAGAAAATGGAGTAGAGGACATGGGATGATGGGTTAAAGAGGTGTTAATGACGCAGAACAAAGTGGGGGATTGCAACAAAGCAGGTGAATAGAGAGGTGTTAATATTGCAGAACAAAAAGGGTGGGGGGGAAGAACTTGCAACAAAACAGGCAGATTAGGGAGAGAAAAGGTGTGTCTGGGACCAAGATGATGTGTAATGGTCACCGAAGAGAAAGAGGGGGGAGGTCACAGAAGAGGGGGAGGGAGCAGCTTAAAAGCCTCTCCCTCCCAACCCGAAATGTTGGCTCACTTTCCTTTCTCCATAGATGCTGCCTGACCTGCTGAGTGTTCCCAGCGACTTCTGTTTTTATTTTCAGATTTCCAGCAACTGCAGTATTTTATGTTTTGTGACAAAGAGGATCCTAGTTTCAATCCCTGTATTGAGCTAAATGATGCTAGCTGGGATGATAGTGGAGATACTGCAATTACTGCCCTAGAGCTGAGGGATGGGAATTAATCAGTCACAGTTCCCATCCCTGATGACTCTCAGATCACTCCTGCTGCCGAGAGTTCATATATGTGGCAGATGGATGGTGAGGACAGAATCAAGCTCATCTGTGACGTTCTCCATTATCAATATCCAAAAGACACCATTAGTTAGCTTATCCCATTAATATAGAAAGGGATGAAGAGTCCAGTCCTCTCTGTTTAGTTTTGCACATAATCTAGATGTGATGCTAGAAATCTACCAGTGACTGTGGAACTCTATGCCAGCCTAAATTCACCTCCTTTAGCAGGGGAAGAGGTGCAAAGAAAAAAACCACAATATAACCCCTGATCTGCCAATATTCCTATAATTTATTACATCCTAATAAAGTTAAATGGTTTGGCCTAGATTCCCGATTGGGGACATTCTCAAAGGGGTTGTCAAAAAGGAACTTGGCAGTAAGAAAAGGGGCTAAAGGTCACAAGATAGAATGAAGTGGCTTTAAAGTACATAGAATATAAAATAAAGACATTTGGAGGCGAAATTTAATGTTTCAAAACCCCTTATGAAACGATACAATTTTCATCTCATATTTCGCATACAGTGGTAGTTTTCAGTTTAGTTTGTTCAATTCCTTTGTGATCTCCACATTGGGCTTATGTTACAAAGCTCCAAATCACCATTTTTTAAAATTCTAGCTTTGTATAAACTCTTGCCCTGGCAACAATCGTACTCTTTGAAACAGAGGAATACTCCTTGCATTTGATATAGCGTTTTGCACGTCTTCTAGACATCTCAAAGCGCTTCACAGAATATACTGCAAAGTGAATTGACTGTATACTTGGGCAAAACACGGCAACCAATTGCACACAGCATTGTCCACAAACAGTCGTAGGATTGAAGTGACCAATTTTCTTATTGCTTTTTTTTCTTATTATCCATCTATTGGGAACCATTCATTGAATGAAAAGGTTAATGTAGAAATGAACAAGAGATTTTGTGCCCCTGTATTTAAAACAATTTCACTTAGTTGCAAACCAACAAATAACAAAGACGATTATGATTTTCAGATTCATAAGCAACTATACCAAAAAATACAATGTTTCTTAACAGATCCAATATGATCACACCGAATTTGCAATGAAATGTCACATTTGCGGTATTGAATGAACTGAAACAAAATTCAAGAATATACAGTATTTATAACGTTCACTGTTTTATTTTCTTCTCCCACCTCTTTACAAAATGTAGCTACTGAAACATTTTTTGGGATTACCGAACACCTGGCTTGATACAACACAAGTTACATTCATATAGTGCCTTTCACGTTGGGAGGATGTCTCAAGGTGTTTTAAATTGCTGGTTGGACACCTGAGCTAGAGGACGGGAGCTGAGGGTAAGTAGGGGAAAGATGATTGACAGCAGGTAAAAGAGGTGCAGCTTTGAACATGGGGAGGGAGGGAACTAATTAAAGGGGGTTGGAATTCCAGAGAGTGGGATGGATAGAGAGGAGGACATGAAATAAGCCAGTGTTTGCTGAGCAAAGGGCTATATGAACTTTGTTCTGAGTCGTAGCATAAATATAAAATCAATGTAGCTTGGATTTCAGTCAGGATTATGCTATAAAAGACTCAAAAGAGTAGAAGTAACATCAGTGGTTCGCAAAAGTAACACCAGTGGTAAAAAATATAGTAAAGTGCAGAGTAGAAATACTTTGACTGCATACACTAGCTTTTATTGAAAGTTATGTGGCGAAAAACACAGAGCTAATACCGAGAAGAGTTCTCAATTCCCACAATTGCCTTCAACTTGTTAAATGTGTGAATCTCTATGTCTGGAGAAGGTAAAGACTTACCTCTACATTGGAATTCATCACTCTGTGCAAATCCAGGTGGGCATTGTATTCGTAAGACTTGACGAGCTGGTGCAGGGGGAGGTTGAGTGGGTACAGGAACGGGAACAGGAACAGTTGGAGCAGAAGAAGGAGAAGGGAGCACACCATCTCTTGCAACGTTGTTATTCAAGATAATGTAAGCTGTTTTGGGCAAGCATAAGTATCCCCCATAATGGTTTATGCATTTCATTTCTCCTTTGCAAGCATCTGGGATAGTCACACATTCATCAATATCTGAAAAACCAGCAAAAGATTTATTTAACCTCTTTTGTACAGGCCACAGGTTCCACATTTGTACAATGCAATGATTCTTAAAAGGCATTTCAGGTTGCATCATAGGAAAGCGCCAATTCATTGACACTGAATATTGCTGAATTCGCCAATTCATCAAATCCATTCTGAAGAATAAGACGCACTCTCACAAATAACTGAAGTTCAATATGGCCAAAGGTAAAGTCAAACCGATTTATTTTCCAGTTGTGTCTATAAAATGTAAAGCATGAAAAAACAGAAGGCCGAAGGAGAAGCAAGAGGAGAAAGGTAATGAGGAAATAAGTATGAAAGACAGAGAAGAAAGGCGATATGGGGGATAGAAATGCAGAATTGATTAAGTCGTAACCCAGTTTCTATGTCCTTTACTGCCTCACCTCTGCACTGTTGCCTTTCGGGACTCCATTCATAACCATCAGTACACTGCTGTAATAGAAATTAAAAAAAACTCTCAAAGAACAGCACTGTGCCCATTAATCAGTACATTTCACTGTTAAACAATTCAGGTGGATGAGAGAAACAACAACATAACAACTTGCATTTACATAGCACCCTTCACACAGGTTAACGTCCTGGAGCGTTTAAACTTACAACATGCAATAGCTACTGCAATAATGTTTTAAAGAACTCATCAGGCATGATAAGGCGGTGGGTGGGGGGGGGAATTTCTTCCATTATGCAATGATGTACATTCTAAAACCAATATCTCTCTACTGTTGCAAACCAACCGGAAGAAAAAAAGTAATTCAGAGTTGATCACAGCACAGCTGGACTCTACAGTTTGAGACTTATTGCTGTAGGATTGCTCCAGACTGCATTTTAATATGATCTTGCATGGTTCTGAGCTATAAGGGTGTCCGATTTCTGGAGCTACCTTACCGTGTATGTGATGGTTTCTTCAGTTTCCTGTGCGGCTGCTCTACGCAAAATAAATGCGACCAGCAGAAACCATTGCAGCATCTTGTACCTGAATGACAGTAAGAACACGTAACCCTTTAACGAAAACCCACTCAACAGCACCGTTTAGATAGTTTACTCTTATCGTTTGACAAATGCGTAAAGAGAGAATAAAGAGCTCTTTTACACAGATCTATTGGAATGAGTTCAAATTTAACCTAACAATACCTTTACTTGTCTTAACATGTAAGAAACTCTTGTGAGGAGATATCACCCCCCCCACCACCACCCCGTGTTCAGAGTATTCTTTACCTGTACACAGAAATGCATCTATTAAATTATATCAATTGACTGATTTTCAGGAATTAATGTTATGAATTTAATGACCTGAATCTAGTTTTGAAACATGTGAACAATCCCCCCCATCTCTCTTTTGGCATTTAATTTTCTGCAGTTTGTTTTTTTAAAAAAAAATCTTGTGCACACATAATATTTGCCTGTGCACATAGTTTTTTTTTAAAAAAAGCACTACATATCAAAGAACATCACATGAAAAATTTGCCAGATAATCTGAAATGACAAATGCTTGGAAGTCACCAGGTCTCTTGTGCACACTGTGAGGTCCAGAGTTGACACTGAGAGAATCCAAATTCTAAATGATCTCTTAACAGAGGCACAAAAGGAACATGAAGACATTAGCATTACCTTAAAGTGCAACCCAAGCTTCAAAGATGTTTGGGAATTCTCCTGATCGACTGTTGTTGGCTGTTCCTTATCACTGGCTGGGAGAGCTGTGTTTCAGAGTGTGAGCTGCAGTGGGTTTGTGAGGAAGGTCTTGTGTTACTCCCTCTACAGGTTCACACTCTCCACAGTCCAGAATCACAGCAATCTCCAGGCACAGCCAGAGCAGAACTGTCACTTACTCCAATACAGTTAAAAAAAAAGCAGGCAGGCGGGACTCTCAATCCAATCCTTACACAGGCAGATGGGGCTGTCAGTCTCCAACCAAAAGGACTGCTTTTTTCTTTAAAAAAAGTGTGTGTGTGTGTGGGAGCAGTTTTAGCAAAAGAGCAGTTGAGAATTAGAAAGTCAAATAACCTTCCAAATATCAACCCAGGCATTTCAAACAGGTGGAACAATAAACCTGATTTTCCTTATTCAGATTTTTTTTTGGAAAAAAAGCAATTTCCATCTTGCATGTGAATATGTGTCACTATTTCAAACTTTTAGCATTTTTTTTTAATGAATTAACCCAAAAGGCGTTGTGTGGGACGTGCAGAGAGAATCAGCAGCTGAAGGACAGGTGGGTATGATATTGTGTTTTTGTTGGGGACAGAGGAAAACAGATGTTTTGTTTGTATGTGATTTATGTGAGAGAGAGGGAGAGAGAGAGAGAGAGATGAGAGAATGGGGAAAGATTTTGCAGGCGATTGAAAGGCTCAGGCTGGTTGGTGTCAGAGGCTCTCTTGTGTTTGCACAGAAATCCCAGCTTCCAAAACCTAACCACAAAGGGTAGGCGATTTACTGCAACAACCTTTGGCTGACGTGTCCCAAAAGGTCATCCAACAAGTAGCAATGGGAGAAGGGGAGCAACTAACAAAAAAGATGAAGCACAAATGAACAAAACAAATAAGCAAATTAATCAAACAGTCAGATAATAATGAGCAAACAGTCCACCCTCTTACCTGCTACTTGTTGAGCTCTGGACTTGTTTCGCCAGCTCCCTGTCTAATCCCCCCCCGAAAAAACCAAACAATAATAAATTGGTCATTTTCAATCCGCGACTGTTTGTGGGACATTGCTGTGCGCAATTGGCTGCCGCGTTCGCCCACAAATATACAGTCAATTCACTTTACAGTGTGCTCTGTGAAGCGCTTTGGGACGTCCTCCCGACGTCACTAAAACACCCACAAAAAAAGGGAGAGGCAGACGTTTGGATCTCTCCCACACTGGTGGTTTGGTAATTAAGTGTTATTTTATTTTCATTCAATGATAAAAGAATAGGGATACATGTAACAAAATAACCACAATCACACTTCATCCATTTCAATCACAACTTCAAATATGATGGTAACTTCTGGTCATCTCAGAAAAACTCAGCGTTCTTGACAAATATTCTTTGCAGTTTTCCTTTTGGAAACAAAAGTAAATAGAGGAAAGCAATCTTCTAAATTACTGAAAGGTGGAAGTTGTTAGTTCCAGAGATTGGGAGCAGAAAGGTTGAAAACCCAACCGAAGATGGTGGGGTAGGCAGGGAGGGGTATGTGAAGCAGGCCAATGTCTGCCGAGTGGAGGGAGCGGGCAGGTAAGATTTTAGCAGGTCCGCTGAAGTAAGGTGGGGCAAGACTGTGGAGAGCTTTAAAAGCGTGCATGAGAACCTTGCTCTCGATCCTCTAGATGGGGATCCAGTGGAACCGGATGAGGATCTACTGTTTATGGAAACAAATTGCAGAGCAATTTCAAGCCCAACGTCTCAAGGTGTGTAGCCACATGAGTTATAGACTTCCCCTTTCACATCTGGTTATTAAACACCCTGGGTTTCTTGCACACTTTGGTTTTGTTTTAATTTTAAAATAAGCACCCCAGGCTCCCATCTAGTGGCCACTATGTGATAAGGAATTTCGCACTGGGGTCCTGGCAATACATGTTCATGCCAATTTATTACAATAATAGTATGTTTTGAATTAGATATATTGCATTATCGTTTCGTCGAAATGTCTTAAAGCGCTTCGCAGGATTTTACTGTAAAATGGAGTGAAAAAAACAACTGTGAAGCAAATCACCAATTTTATCTGGCAGTTAAATTTGTCATGAAAGGACTGGGATGAACAGGGATGTCCATTGCAGGAGTAGAGTTTTACATTTTTCTAAACTTCATCTCTCCTCATTTCCTTTATGAACTGCCCAAGTATCCCCTTACTCTGAATCATGAGACTGGCAATAATTCCAGAATTATGACTGGTGATAGTCATCACATGCATTGCATTTCTTAACCACCATCCCCTCAGCCATCGTTTAATAGGGTGTACAAATCTGGCATAGTAATTTCTAGACCAAATTCTAGCTACGAGTTGACGCGTGTTGGAGGCAAATACAATGTTGCCAGTTTCTTCATTCCCCCAAGTACATGGATGTTGTGCAGATGGTACTCTGGGAAAACCAAGAAAAACTCAAACGGGAACAAAGTAAATCAGTGTGTTTGGTATGAAGGCGCAGCAACATTTCAAACCAAAATCGAGATGAGAGGAGAAAGAACAAGCCGTGAATTTTAAAAAAAATCCAAAGATTATGTGAAAATAAAAAAAAGGCAAACTATAATCTGAACCGAACCGCATAACTTATGTTCTGTGCAGAGTCAACAATGATTTTTGACAATTATGTTCCTGTTTTCCTATATTATAGTAAGAAATAATCCTTACTTTTGATTTAGTGCCCTTCAACAATAAATTACATTTGTAAAGCGTTTTTCTCGTCAGGAGGATGTCCCAAGGCGCTGGACAGTCAGGGATTTAGACCTGAGCGGGGGATCAGGGGTGGTGGAGAGCCGGATGGCTAGGTGTACGAGGGTGGCCGAATGTACGGTCGAAGAGGAGGGTCTTGAAACATGCTTTGAAGGAGGCAAGGGAGGGAGCAAGACAAAGGTACTGTGTAACGGCTGTGTTTTGTGGGACATCGCGGCACCCAATTTGCACAAAGCAATGTCTGACAAACAACAATGAAGTGAATGATCAATTTTACTGGGGAAGGGGAAATGTTGGCCAGCACATGTTCCTAAGACATGTGCTGGCCAACATGAAAATGGTCTGATTTATTCTCTTTTTATTCCTCTTATACAATACCACCGTCGACACATTTCAATTGTTCTGAATCCAACCTGACCTGTTGGCAGGGTTAACATTTCTGATGACTAAAAGGACAAGGTGAACCAAGCATCGTGGTTGAACAGCATCCTAGGGATTCATAGTTAGATACAGAAGACCTTTTGGGGCACCACTTTGGCTCCTATCTGCATGAAACCTGCATCTACAAGAAAATACACGAAGGCAACACTTTGTTTTCTCCCCCCAATTTGTTTCTATTTATTGGAGCTTTCCAGGTTTTGGTGTATATGTCTTGCATCATGAATTGTCGTAACATTCAGAGAGTGAAGCCCAATCTCATGAATTGCTCTCAATGAGCAGAGATACATCTGGTACGTGTGGGTGAAACGCGGCAGCCAATTGTGCACAGCAATGTCCCACAAACAGTCGCGTTCTGCCAACAATATACACAGTCAATCCACTTTACAATATATTTCTGTGAAGCACTTTCAGACATCTCAACGATGTGATAAGGCATCAAATGCAAGGATTATTAGATTATTATGGTATGTTCCCTCTCAACTGGAGGATATTGTGATTTCCATGGAAACCCTGAATCACAAGCTATTTGGTATTTAAGTTTCAATGGAAATGCAAAAAAAATCATAAACTGTAATTAATTTGGAGGTGAAGTGTTTGAAGCTAAATGTTAAGTGGTTGGAAGTACCATTAAGGGTAAAATATTATTTATGGCAGATTTGCGCTTTTTTTATGAAAAGCACTGGCAGCTTATGCTTTTTTGTGGAAGCTGCGTTCTCTCAAGTCTCTTGTTCATGTTCGCATGGCAAGATGCTATTTTCATAAACCATTCCAAAATTATACAGGGTTTTGAAATGCAGCTTCTTCTCACTTCTGCATGTAGGAACAGGAAGCAAGGTCAGGTTAGATTCCCGTGTTTTTCTCATTTCACCTCAAATAAATTTCAGTAACTGCCACTGCATTTCTTACTGTAATGCCTTGATGTTGATGGATGAGTGTGGGCGAAACTGGGTCAATACAAAACTTGGCAGACTGCTGACCAGTAGGTTTGGGTAGAGTTGCCAACATCAACTTTGAGATGCCTAGGTGACCAACAGTTCTCAGTGCGTATACTGAGATAAAGATTCCACTGTGGTTCGAGGCTTGGCGAGCGGGACAATGGAAACCTTGTCTAGGTTCAGGGGTATCTGAATCCAATAGTTCTTGCTGAAGTAAGGACAGAATTTTGTAAACTCCATGAAGAACAGCTGACAAGAACAGAAACCCTTTTTTGCTGTTCTTCATTGAATTATTTTCACTTAAGATTACATTGATCGGGACTTTAAACTAAGGTGAGTCATCACCTTAGTCTAAGGTGCCACTTTGATACAGTGCTGGGGTATACGCTGCATTGTTGGAGGTGCTGGCCTTCAGATGAGATGTTGGGCCAAGGTCCTGACTGCCTGTTCAGGTGGATGTTAAAGATCTGTTGGAACTGCCTGAAAAGGGTGGGGGGGGAGAGTTTCTCCCGATGCCCTGGCCAACAATCGCCCTGGGCAAAATTGGTCATTTCACTTCTTGCTGTGTGCAAACTGACTGGCGTATTGACTTACAAAATACACAGCCACTAAGTTTTGCAGTAAATCTTGTGAAGCATTTTGAGACGTCTGCTAGACATAAAAGGTGCTATATCAAACGTAAGTATTATCATTATTCTTTATCATGATAGACATTCCCACATTGAATTGTTTTCTCAGTGAATAAATTGAGTGAGGCTCCATTGTGGTTTGAGACTGGCTTATAATTATACTAATTATATGATATAATTATAGTATATATTAAAATAATAATCCTTGCATTTGATGTAGCGCCCATAATGTTGAAAGGTCTCTAAGAGCTTCACAGGTAATTACTGTCAAGTATGACTATAGGTAAATGTGAGAGCCAAATTGCACATAGCTATTTATCACAAACCACCATTAAGTAAATGACTAATTTATCTGTCAGATTGTTCACCAGAACTTAATGGCACCAACCAAAGGAGGAACCTG